CTTTACTCACCCTGTTGAGGCTCAGAAACCCCGTATCAGACCACCTCCATGAAGAACTGATCTCTTTTTGCTCAGGCTCTGATTCATTGTGCTAGGCTTAGCTTGGATACACTCTTCCACCTTTTGACTCCAGCACTCCAGTCCAGGCAGTGTCCTGCTGAATGCCCTCCTTACACTGCTGATGTCTGCCTCCCGGTGCCATCTGTCTTTTGCAGAGAATCCTTCACCTCATTCAAGCTGGCTGCTGCACATAGGCACATTCTTCATGTGCCTGGTATCCAACAGCCTGCCCTGGGTTACTCCCCTTCTGGGCATGGACAGGCCTCTCACCCATCTTGAATTTTGATACCCCATGCCAGACAGCCTCTTTGCATACTTTTAAAATATGTGCATTTCCTCTGACTTTATGTTTTGCTACTAACACCTAGAGGTGATGTGTTAAAATTTTTAAATTAGGATGAGATGTAAGGACAGTGGCTCTATTTTTCAAAACAAAAGTTGGAATATGACCAGATTATAACATTACACCCTTGAAATCTGTACAACCCTACCTCTGGTGAATACTTTCACTGCTTCTGCACCTCTGGCCTGTACCCCAGTTCTGTATACATAAATAAAATAAATCTTAAAAAATAAATAAAATAAATAAAAACACCCAGGATAATGCTTCCTTAAAACAACACCACCAACATAGCAGCTGAGAAGGGAGAGTGGGATCCAGGAATAGGGAAAGAACAGAGGACTTCATCATATGTAAATTCTTTGGTTGATCAAATCTCGGACTGATCTTTAAACTATGCTAACCAGCCCATGGGAGGCCAAAGAAACTGAACAATTACCTCTGCAAAGGTGATAATTTCTCCTGGTTTTCTCTGGAGTGTTGAAAGTTCTACAGTCTGGAAAAATCTTCAGTTTCAGACATACTGAAATATTTGGTTATCTTAACTGTTACCCATCACAGGTGAGGTAGAATTTGAGTTTGAGCCGAAGCAAGTTAACTTCATGCTTTGAAAGGTAATATAAAAACATCTGTATTCTTCAGAGGAATATAACAGAATCCAGAAATGCTGTAATATATTATTTACAGTGCCAGAATTAATAATCCAAAAGTATTTGGTCATATTATTAAGCAGGAAAATGTGACACATGTTAGAGAGAGAAAAAAAATTCATCATGATTAATCCCAAAATGGCTTAGCTATTGGAACAGAAAGAACAAGAATCTTAAGCAACTATAGTGATTATAGTCAAAGATGTAAAGAAAAAATGCTTGTGAAGAACTAACAACTAGGACATCTCAATTGAAAAACTAAAGAACAAAATGGAAGTTCTGGAACTAAAAACTATAATATCTAAAATAGAAATCTCATTGGACAAGCTTAACAAATTAAGAAAGTGTAAAGAAAAAAGACTAAGTAGGTCTGAAGATATATCAATGAAAGTAATTAATCTGAACAGCACAGAGAGAAGAACATTAAGTAGGAAAGCACAAAATGTCAGGGAACTGTGGGGAAGTGGGAAGACCAATAGACATATAATTGAAATCCTAGAAGGAAAGTAGAAAATGAATAGAGCAGAAAAAGTATTTTAAGAAATAATGGCTAAATGTTTCTGAAGTTTTACAGATAAGTTCAGTGAATCCAAGTAGAATAAATTAAAATAAAATCACACTTAGGCAGATCTTACTCTAACTGCTGAACTAAAGTAGAGAATGTCTTGAAAACATTCAGAGAAATAGAATATAATAGGAAAACAATACAGAAAACTCTGACTTCCTATCAGAAGCAATAGAGGCTAGAAAATATTGAAATGCCATCTTTAAAGTACTGGAAGAAGACTGTAAATCCAGAGCTCTCTATCAAGCAAAAATATCCTCTAAAATTGACAAAATAAAGATATCTCAGGCCCTCCCTGGTGTCGCAAAGGGTTAGGACTCAGCACTGCAAGCTAGCAGCAGCTGTTCAGTGCAAGTTTGATTCCCAGCAGAGGAGCTGACCCATATAGCGCAGCAGACCTTGCCTGTCTCGCCCGCTGCTCCCTTCACCAGTGTACTTCATCGATCTGCCTATTCTGCTCCCCACTCTGTCTCTGGTGAAGCCTCTCACTGCCCCTGCACCTCTGGCTTGTACCCCAGTTCTGTATGGGTAAATAAATATTTTTTTAAAAAAGATATTTCCAAATAAGTAAAAACAAATAAATATTTTTTTTTAAAAAAAAGGTATTTCCAAATAAGTAAAAACAAAGAAAGTGGTCACCCAGTTGCAGTACTGAAATTGCTAAAGGAAGCTCTTTAGCCTGAAGGGAGATGATACCAGAGGGAACTCAGGTGTTCAAGAGAAAAATGAAAAGCACCATTTAGAGAATAGGGGTAGGGGAGGGGAGACAACAAAGAAGGAAAGGAGGCACAATGGTCTATGGTGGCAGAATATGGTGAATTGGCGGTGGGTGCACTCTGGCAGTAATATCTGATGGGGGTACCCCATTTATCTCAGTTAAAAATAATTTAAAAATGAAAAGCACCTGAAATGTTAACTATGTAGGTAAATACAAAGTGCTAATTCTTTCCTCTTAATTACTTTAAAATACAATTACTATGTAGATAATTCCTTTTATACTTCCTATGTCAGATTTTAGGGAGGCTATAGAGAAAGGATAGTCCTCGAAAGAGGAAATTTGCTGCGAAGTCTTCCAAAATGGTGTCCTTACTAAATTTGTAATGTTCAAACCTGAAAAAAATTAAGTAGCTGACATTTACAATTTTTCTCTTTTCAGATATAAAACCAAATGTGGAATTGAAAGGCACTCAGGAGCAGTCAGTGGCCACAGGTACATCATGTCCTTTTTCTCTAGAAATCTACCTTTGCTGCAATCATCAAAGTAAAAGAAATATCCTGATTGCAGTAAAAATGCTATGGGAATGTGGTTGTCTCTTCCTGATACGTTTAGCTCTTATAAACTCTTTGCCATCATAGAGCCAAGCTACACTCCACCTATTTTGGTCACTGTTGTTTTTTAAAATCTTTCAAAAATATTTTCAGCTGATTGGTCTTAATGGAGACAGTTTGGTTGAATAATGCAGTAGCTTGTATTTGAACGACTTTCATTCTAGAACAGAGTCAGCAAACTTTTTTTGTAAATGGGAAAACAATAAATATTTTAGACTTAGTGGGCCATATAGGGTCTCTATTCCATAGCCTTTTAATGGTTTTTATAACACTTTAAAAATGTGAAAGCCATATCTGCCTCTTGGGCCCAAACCAAAAGAGTCAATGATTAGATTCAGCCTTTAGGCCATAGTCTGCTGACACCTGCTACAGAATAATTTATAAACTTTAAAAATTTTACTTTCTAAACACACCTCCTATGTTTTTACCATTGGTTAACTTACTTTGATTAAATCAAACCTAATGTTATATTAGAAAATTTACCACTTAAGTACTTTTTTGTGAGTTGTAGCCTCATATTTTTATTGAAAAATATTCCCAAATGAAAAATATTGGAAGATGAGAGGAACAACATAACTGGAATTATTTCACAGATAAGCATAGTAGCTTGACCAAAAGATGGTAATAAAAGAAATGGACTGAAAAAATATGGACTGAAATGACATTTGACATTCCCAGTCATCACAAAAATATTATTGAGTATCAAATACATACAACAAATAGTCAAAGACATGTACCTCATTTTAGTTTCAGGTATACCCTTTGTATTAGACAAGCTTGAGAAACATGAACTACTGTTTAGAACAGTGCCTTGGAGCTAGATATTATAGTTATGAAATAGCCATATAGAGAAAGTTATGTAACTCTCAGAGTAGATGTCAAAAAACCCAGAAATTAGAAACTTGGCCTATTTATAAATCAAACCATCCCACCATGTCAGGACCTGTTAGTCATGGATTTAATGAAATATATTTCCATTTCACTCCAGTATCCCAGTGGGAGTCCTACCAGGTATTCCATCAAGGCTGTCCCTGACAGAAGCACCACTTCTACGTGTCTTGTATCCTCTCCTGCTGCAGCCCAACTTAAATGACATGGGACTCAATGTCTTTGGCTATTTGTTGCATATAGTTGGTACAATATTTTTTTTGATGTTTGGGAATGTCAAATGTCTAACTTTTCAGTGCGTTTATTTTATTACCATCTTTTTGTTAAGCTGATATGCTCATCGGTGAAATAATTCCAGTTATGCCATTCCTCTTATCTTCCAATGCTGTCAGTATATATGGCACAAAATCCCATTTCCATAAGCTTGACTTCTAACAAGTCTGTTTATATAAGCATGCTTTTTTTATGTCTATCCTCTTTTACTTATAAGCTCCCACGACACTTTACATTTCCCTCAATCTCTTGTCTGAGTCTTGCATTACAGTTGTAAACTTGTCTTACCTATATCTGCAAAGTATAAACTCCTTGAAGATAGGAATTATGACCTATTCATATCTGTAGTTTTGTTGGTACTTCGTAAGAATGCCTGAGAAATAAAGGAACTTGGAAGCCAATATGTTTTCCAGAGCCACATGTATAATATGAACAGAAAGAGAAAATAAGACTAATATAGTGAAGCTTACAGGCTTGCTCCCAGGAGAGCATCTTTCCAAACTGGGTTTTAACAGTATTTTCAGGCCCAGTATTTCTAATCATTAAAACTAGCAATTTTTGTTTATTGATGGCTTTCACATCCTACTAAATATTGTGAAACATGCCAGAAGAGAGAGTACTGCTGTCCAGATGAACCTTGGTCACATTTTAACTCAGGTAAAAGAAATGTTCCAGAAAATCATGTCTAATGGAAAAGTGCATGACACTAGGCATATTTCCAAACCTCAGGTGTTTTCACATTTATCCCACTTGGCATATATATGTAAAGGTCACTCTCACTAAGGGGTTGTGTGAAGCTGGCATGGGATTCTACTTATTACATGTTTATAACAAACCTCCCACATTGACTGTATAGTTAAAATTCTTTTATCTCCTAGAGGGTCCAGTGATTGTGAATGACTACGATTTAACCAAACCTCATGAAATAGAAAATGTGGACAGTGCAGAAGGCCCAGCCAACGAAGAAGAGGATATGGGAGGTGAGTCATAGTGTACAGACTAAAAGCCAACAGTTGTTGATGCGGTTGAAGCTTAGTATGAAAAAGAAATCAGAAAAAGTTGCACTTGTGAGCTGAATTGGGAGTAATGTACCTTTTTTTTTTTTTCACTTTACAAATATCTACATTCAATAACTCACTATAGGATATCTACAAATTTTGAGAACTTAAGGTGTTTGTACTAACTTCATTTTTAAAATAATGCTTATTCTACTCCTTTCCATTATAAAAATAATACATGCTCTTATAGAGAGTTTGGGGTGTTTTCCAACACCAGCTGCCAATTATCCAGTTTTCCAGACATCGACTGGGTGCCCAACAGTCCATTTCTGCTGTAGCACTAACTTCTGGTGTCAGCACAGGGCCCACAGGTTCAGTCAGGATGAGTCTCCCGAGACTGCCCTCACTTCAGACACCAGCTGAACCAATTGCGTCCCCACCCAGGTTACCTGTACTGCTTTCCAGCCTGGCTACAAATTCCGGGTTTCCCACAGGGGACTCTCCCTCTGGTTCACTGAGTTGCTAGAATGACTCACAAAAGCACTTTACTCACCACTCTCAGTTTGTTATAAAAGACACAACTCAGAAGCAACCAAATGGAAGAGATGCACAGAGCAAGATCCAGGCAGGGGACTCAGGGCTTCATGTTCACTCTGGGCATGCCATCCTCGTGGGACCACAAGTGCTCACCCACAAGAAGCTCTCAGAATCTCTCGGTTCAGGGGTTTTTAATAGAACTCAGGCTCCAGTCCCTCCTCCCTTCCTGGACGTCAGAGGTCGGGTTTAAAGCTCTCACCCGATAACCTTTTGGGGACCAGCCCATCCTGACGCTCTGGAGCCCCAACCCAAGTCACATCATTAGCAGAAAATTAGGTGTGACTGAAGGGGACTTGTATGAGTAACAAATGATACTCTTACCTCTGGAGACGATCCATGGGTTATAAAACAAACCATGTGGAAACTTCATAGACACAGAAAGAAAAAAGAAAACCCACCACTATGCCAATGCCCAAAGGCAATCTCTATTTCTTTGTTGATGTTACAGCATACTTTCGGACACTTTTGTGAATTTTGAATTCACATTTTTTTTTAAAGATTTATTTATTCGTACAGAACTGGGATACATGTCAGAGGTGCAGAGGGTGAGAGGATTCACCAGAGACAGAGTGGGGTACAGAGCAGATCGACGAAGTACACTGCTGAGGGGAGCAGCGGGCGGGTCAGGAGAGGTCTGCCGCGCCATGTGGTCACCTCTGGGGCAGGCGGGAATCGAACTCATGCAGAAATGGTTTAAGCTTCCCTGTGCTGTGCTTTAATCCACTGGGCCACCAGGGAGGGCCTGAATTCACATTTTTTAATTTAACATAACATGCTTCTATTAATGTTGCACGCATTTAATGCTGACTTTTATGTAGATATATGCGATCAGTGTTGCTCTAGGAGTGTCGCTCAGATCTCATCTTAAATGTCATTTCTTCAGAGATGCCCTGACAACCCAGTCACTGTTAAAACAGGACCCTATTTAATGATCTGTGTGGCACCACCGGGGTAATTTTGGATTTGTGTTGGTTGCATCTCTCCCTCAGCCCTTCGTGAGCCAGGCTTTTGGGCTGTCGTTTTTACTGCTTGGGTATTTGTAATACCTGGAATAGGAATCGGCCCATAGTAGGTGTGCAATAAATTTGTTGAGGAAGTGACAATATGAACATCTTAGGCTAATGTTTGTGTGTTTCTCAAAGGAAGAAAAGAAAAAGAATAATTTCTTGGACTCTTTTTTTTTTTTTGTCAGATTCTTAAGGATCAGGAAATAGAGTTCTATATCTAAAACTTCTGAGATTCAAATCACAGCTTTAAATAACATTCCAGCTCTGCCTAACTATACATTAATTTGTACCAGTTCTTAACCACAAAGACTGAAAAATGCTGCCTGGCACAGGATGTGGTCATTTGTGCTGAGGAAAGGCATATGGTGTTCTACAAGCCTCATGCAACTTCTTCAAGGTGGCATTCATGGAGTGAGACTCAGAGTGAGGCAAGGGAGACTGTGCCTTTAGCTTGCATTTCTCTGGGTTCTGGTAGGTAATGCCTGACAGTTTATGTTTGAAATGATAGAACTTTTGATCTGAGAATGTATGATTTATGTTAGAATTTGCTCTGGATTCAGAAGAAAGCCTCTTTATGTGTTCAGGTTATTGGGGGGAGAAAAAGAGATTAAATACTCAAACATAAACAAGAAAGCAATTTCCATCCAACAATAGAAATTGAAAACAAATATTGTAAAAACTCATGTTAAATAACAACTACAACCAAAGCAATCTTAAAACTCTAGTGGGCTTTGTTGAATGAGTCACCGACTGAGCAGCATCCCATCTAGCAGGTAAGAAGTCTCTCTTACCTGAAAAACTGTACAAAACCCACAGGTTTTAGAGACAGAGAAGAGGAAAAGACAAAGGAAGGGGGGATGAGTTCAGGCTCAGATAACCTACTAGTGGGGAGTGGAAAGAGGCCTGTGTAGCAGATTATTTCACCCTCCTTTGGAAAATGGAAAAGATCACCTCTTTGGTGCTTGCCTGAAAATCTGTACTGGCCACTTCAGACCACATTCCCCAGGGAGGCTGAATCTAAGACTGGTTGAAGTCTGAGTCCTGGTGGGCTTGGCACAAGCATTTCCCTCTAGGTCTGTCATTTTCTGTTTAGTGCCATTTGGTGCAGCACGTGTCTGGGAACCCGTAAGTAGGTGGCTTCGCATTTGACCCTGCTCCTTAATCGAGTACTTCCAAGGGGAAGACGTTCTGTCTCTGTGCTCCACTCACTTTGGCCACTTTGACGCTGTAGCTGCCTGTGCTGTGCCCGTCGCCTCACCCACTGCAGATGAACCAGTGGGCATCTCTGTGTATTCCTCCTCAACTAGGGGTCTGGGAGTGTTACGCAGTTCTTGCAGAGTCTAGAAGACATGATCAATTAAATAATTGGGGAAAGAGGTTGACTCAGAAACAAAGAAATAAGCTAACTTTAGCTTTAAAACAAAAAATTAATTTGTTTAAAATAATTTGCTATTTTATAACTATTGTACAGTTGTACAAACTGACTGGTATTACTAATGTTGACACATAATCTGATCATATATCTTTTAAAATGATATATCATCAGGGTGTACAAGTTATACCTGCGAAATCATAAAATTATAGAACTGAAAAATAGCATTGCCTGATGGAAGAGACACCAACTCAATGAGTCACTCCTAAAATACACAGCTTTGGGGAAATCAAGACTAGAATTAGGATTATACATTTAAAAGTGATTGGGACCCTCCCTGGTGGCACAACGGGTTAAAAGCACAGCACTACAAAGTTATCCCCTGCTGCTTTGGCACAAGTTCGATCCCCAGCCAGGGAGGTGACCCACATGGCACAGCAGACCTCTCCTGTTTCAGTAGATCTGCCTGTTCTTTTCCCCACTCAGTCTCTGGTGAGTCCTCTCACCCCCCACAACTCTGGCCTATACCCTAGTTCTTGTATGCATAAATAAATAAATACATATATAAAAGAAAATTTCATACCCTGGTAGAAACATTCAGTTTTTCTCATGTGGAAAGACAATAAATTTTTAAGGGAAAAAAAGTATTTCCTCAACTAGAGCTGTTGTTTGAGACAAAAATCAATTATTTTGAAAAGGCTTTTGAAGGTATTAACATTTAAAAAGGTGTAACATTTAACATATAACTTGTTTCCCACCCCACCAATACTCTGATCATTTTTTAACAAAGACATGCCTAGGATCCTAGTGAAAGAATTGGCAAACTTCTTACAAAGGGTGAGATAGCAAATGTCTTAGGCTGTATGGGTTGTTTGATCTACGTTGCAGCTTCTCAGCTCTGCTGTTGGAGTATAGCAGCCACAGGAGATACAGACTCGAGTAGATGTGGCTGGGTACCAGCAGAGATCTTTCCTGACTTGTGATAGCTTTATGTCCCAATAATCTAGCCCTACTGTAAATTGAAAATATGGTAAATTGAAAATAGTTGAAATACATGCAGCCTCTTGGACATCATAGCTTAACCTAGCCTACCTTAAGTGTTCCCTAAACACTTACACTAGCCCATAATTGGGCAAAATCATCTAAAGCCTATTTTATAATAAGGTATTGAATATCTCATCTAATGTATTGAAAACTGTACTGAAAGTGAAAGACAATCTGGAGATTGCATGGCTGACTGGAAGCTACTGCTCTCCGTGGGTGTTGCTAGCCCAGGAAAAGAGCAAGATTCAGAATTTATAACATGGTTTCTATCAAGTGTATATTGCTTCTCCACTATAGTAAAGGCAAGAAATCAGAAGTCAGAGCTTCTGAAGTGGGAGCAAGATGTCTGTACATTTATTTACAGAAGTGAGCATTGGGTTAGAGTTGGCAGATGAGCCATCATCTGCTGACTCCTGGCCTAGTGTGACATTTATTGTGTGATGAGTTAAGGAAGCTTTGATTCTTGAAAGGAACATTTGTATAAAACTTCAAAAAAGCCTCAATGGGATATTTAAGGAGACTACACCTGAGGGGGGAAGTCAAATACTGTACAAAAATGAAAAACAATGTAAAAAATTTTTAAATTAATAAAAGAAAAAAGCCTCAATGGGGAGTCTAACACTAATTTTTTAGATAAAAACATATATTACAGCTATATGTGTGTGTGTTATATAAGATGCACACACATATGTAATATAGCTGTTTATCATACATATAATACAGGTTTGTACAAACATAAGTATATATATTATAGCTTTGTGCCACTGCAATTTACATAAATCAATTAGTGACAAATAAAGCCTTATGTGGAGTGAAATTTTGTTGCCTTTCAGTTGTTTCTTCCTTTCTTTCTGAAGATTTGAATCTAATAGACTAATGCATTGGAGAGCTGTACATCAGCTCAGGTTTCTTTCCTCCATGAGGCCTTCTTGCACCTTGCCAGCTCCCCCAACTATAGTGTT